ATTTATGAACGATTTCAAACTTAAGGTGGTTCCTAAGGTTCACGTAATAAAATCAAAGTCCTGATTTAGGGTAGGATGGCGTCAGCTTTTTCGCCACCCAATATACCGGTTCAGCCACGAAATGGAATGATACGCACATATGAAAATCACGAAAGGACGTTCACCCGTCCCTATTCGGCGAAAACGGTGTTCTTCTACAAAGAAGGCGATGAGTACTTCACGGTGAGTTGATACCTATTCCTATTTGAGAGACTACCTATTCCTATTTGAGAGACCGAGTTTCTGGATCCGGGCGCAAGAGGTGGTTTGAACCTTTAGGAGATAGAAGGGGTAATGCCTACCCGATGTAGTATTGTAGGATATTCCAAAAGTGTTGTAAAACTATCACTCACTGGAATCCTACCACTATACATAAAAGAAAATAATTTTTTAAAACATTGTCAACTATTTTTCTGCAAAACACTATCTTTTCTCTGTCAAAACTGGATTTGATGTCTACTCTTTTCTTGATTCAAAGCAAAAATTTTATTTACAGAATCATGGAACAACAATATAGATAGCATCCGCGCAAGTTGCACAGCAGATTTCATAGAATAAACTATTATGTGTGTACTTAAGTGCACATAACAATTCTTAGGTGCCCATTTACTGTAGTTCCTCCAAAAAAGTGACTAATTATTACAATTTCAGTTTAATGAGGGCTACCTTGAGTAGGCAGTCACGTCAATCTAATATAGGCTGATTTTATAAGCTTTTCATAACAAAAAAAGTATTCAATTCATTTTTGAATTAGAATCAGCTTATTTTGCTGTTTGATTTAAAAAAACAGTGTTCCCCTTGTATACACCAATAACTGAAGAAAATTTGGAGCTTTCCACTTTATAGCTCAAAAATGGATCGCGTTCCTAATTTCATAAAACTTCGCCAGCTTCTCGTTGAGATACAGTATTTTTAACCAAAATACTTCAACAAAAAATCCTGCAGCGATCTTGCAGCCTAAGTCAGCCGCAAGCGTGGATGTAACATTTATGAGTTGCGTGGTATTTACATGTTGGGTTATAAATCCTTCCCATTTATAAATGCTCTGATTACAAAAGTGGAAGTGGTAATCAATTGAATTATGACATGTACATTTAAGCAATAAATCTAGAATAATGTTGTATTTGAAATAGAAATTTTCACGTATTACTACTCATTATCCCTGAAACAGCACTTGCTATCCGCTAATTGTATGATTTGCACTTTCTCCTTATTGTATGAATAGCAGAATTAAATTTGGTAACCTAGATTTTAATTATCATTTTTGTATGAGTTTAAGGTCGTCGATAACCACGTAACTAAGGATATATGATAGCCCAAAGAAAAATCTTTTGGGCTTTTGACAAATCAGATTCCTTTTAGGCCACTATTTGAAAAGAACTGTTTGCACTAGTTTGTCTCAAAACTTCAGAAAGTAGTGGGAAATTTCAGAAAATAAATCGCAACAGCCTTATGAAGCAATCTTAGGCTCACAGTGGCAGAGGGATATAACGATAAATCAAATAGCAGCTTCTGCTCAGGCCGCAATAACATTTCTAAAAAATAATTCATAATCAGCTCACTTTGTTTCCAGCATGCGCTTTCTAGTTTCTGAAATTTGTGTTCTGAAAAATAGAAACATTTTCTTGATGAGAGCCAATTTGTGGGATCTACATGTCCTCAAGACGGTTAAAAAATTTCTTT